TCTTCAGCGTAGTTAAACGGGAAGCCCTTCCACAAATTTTAGATGAGATCAACAGAATTCATAAGGATATCAAATTCACTCACGAGGTAGAAAAAGACGGGAAACTCGCATTTCTCGATCTTCTAGTCATCAGGGAATCGTCATCATCTTCCTCGCTTGAATACGAAATTTACAGGAAACCAACAAGCACCAAAAGAGTTATCCCCTATACTTCCAACCATTCGTTCCAGCAGAAAATGGCCGCCTTTCACCACATGATTCACCGAATGCAGACTCTTCCACTCAGCGATACAGGAAAGGTTAAAGAATTACAGTACATCTTCGAAACAGCAAGACTCAACGGATACAAGGAGACCACAATCCAGGCAATCATCGATAAAAAAGCGAGAATTCTACAAAGAAGATTATTTACAACCCTCACCACAGCACCTGAACCATTGAAACGAGTGTCCGTTCCATTTGATCAAGATATTACTTGTAAACTAAGACCACAGTTAAAACAATTCGGATTAGATTTAGTTTTCACCAGTAGACATAACCAGTTGAAATCATTGTTAGGATCCACTAAAGACCCAGTTAATGTTTTAGGTAAAGCAGGCGTATATAAAATAAGCTGTAATCATTGTAACAAAGTATATGTAGGACAAACCAAGAGAACTTTAGCAACTAGATTTAAAGAACATATAGCGGAGGTTAATAAGGCCAAAAAGCAAGAAGAAAAAGGCCTAACATATGATTTCAAATCAAAGGTTGCAGAACACATCTTCACAGAGGACCACCAACTATCGACGGAGGACATAACGATTTTACGAACCGTATCTACACCATGGAAATTGGATGTTGCAGAAAGCCTCGAGATCAACAAACAACGTAATTCAACTTTACTCAACAGGGATCAAGGAAACGGACACACATGGCTTTTCAAGTTACTACCTAGGACACATCAACGAGTAAGCAGCGGAGTACCTGGTCCTATAGAAAATTAAATTTAAGTTTACCTAGTTTCTAAGTGAAAATGTACCTGTGTTAATATATATTCGGTAAATGCGATGTTTTTCTTCAGTCGAGTATTAGTACAAGACACTGAAGAAGTCTGCACATTGTAGACGAAATACGCGTATCTGTCAAGGATAAGCAAATAAAGTAGTGGAATTAAATGGAAAATACTAATCCTTCTCTCTCTCATTATAATAATTTGTTGCCACGCTAAATTTAAAAACGGTCAAAAGTAGGATATTTTTTAAAGCTAAAAAAGTTTACAGCAGACAGTACACCTCTAAAACTAATCGCATTCCCACTGACTTCAACGTTAATCGTTCACAATCTGTCCCATTGTGCCTACAGGAACCCTTAGTTTACCCGTAGTCATTTACACAGTTGTCAGTCTCCGTAATGTTTGTCGTTTTTATCTACGTTGAGCCCCGTGCAACTACATCGGCAGCCAAACAATCAAATCCGGACCACCCCAACGTCTGTACTACATTCGTTATGGTATTACCATAGAGATAACTCTAAGACTAGAAGGTCCCGAAATAACGTGCTCATCTTTTGGCTCAGCTCTGGTACTCTCTTCGCTCCCAAGCTAATCGATTCACCCCTCGAAACATAGGAAAAACCAATAACCCCTCATTTTAGCTGTCAAACTTTCATAGCGAATCAAAACAAACAGTGCGTAGTACTAGAATTTCGACTAGAATGGGGTACGTTAATCGTTTGCTTGGGACCAATAGGCTAGTCAAGTAGTGAGCCAATTTCAAATCGTTAGTTTCGTATTGATTGTTGGTATTACCAAGCCAACACGATTGATTCCCCATCCAGTCGAGGTTTTTTTTCACGTTAGAAATTTTCTCGACTTCCCTCGGGATTGAGTATCATCATAGAGGTAACTCTAAGACAAGAAGGTCCCGAAGAAACGTGCTCAACTGTTTGGCTCAGCTCTGGTACTCTCTTTGGTCCCAAGCTAATCGATGCACCCCTCGAAACATGGGAAAATCCACGAACCCCTTATTTTATCTGTCAAACTTTCATAGCGAATCAAAACAAATATAGTGTAGTGCTAGAATTTCGACTAAAATGGGGTACGTTAATCGATTTGCTTGGGACCAATAGGCTAGTCAAGTAGGGATCCAATTAAAAATCGTTAGTTTCCACCGGTTGGTATCATTGCGCTTGCCACAGGATATACAAATTCATGCATTGGTTGGCATAGAAAGCTCGCAATTAATAATTGTGGAAGTACATCTAGAACAGTAAGTTGAGAGCCGGAAAATCGCTCGCAAAAGAAGCGTAGAAAACCTAGACGAAGAAGAAGCAAAAGTTAATTGCCGCTTAAAATGGCAATTACAGAAGTTTTAGTGAAAAGACAACTCATCAATGCCCACGTTGAGCGTTCCATGTTTCTGGTAGAACAAATTTCTTTCAGTACAGTATTGATTAGACAAACATAATTTTAGCGGGAGCCGATAATAGCAATAACACGCTGAACTTCATCTTTGCCAAAAGGCACGAAAACAACTCAGTTCAAGCAGAAGTGAAAATTTACCCAGGCCTCGAATCGAAAGGATAATAATACCACCCCCACCACCCCAGAACCACTACTAGGTCTATTAGGTAGAGCTATACACAAAATTCTGAACAGTGAAACTTTCCTCCCAATCATCACCGGCGCACCACTCGAAACCACACCGCTTTTTAGTAGCTGTATATCGTATATTTGGCTTTCCCATTGCGTACCTACTGAATAGATGACCTAGACGACCTGAAGAAGTTGGTGAATGGTGACGAGGCACGCGGAAGGGCCACACCACCGGCACCGGCACCGGCAACGACTCGACTAGCCTAATCGGTCGAAAAGCGATGAATTGTGGGAAGTTTATGGTTTTTCATTATTGTAACCCGCTTCCGCGACGACGTTCACCCGCCATCAAGGGTGCCCTTCATGCACGTTAATCGATGGAGAAAATTGCTTTCTTTTGACGAGCTAGTTCAGACTTTCTGCAGAGCGAGTGATTGCACGGAACTTGTTTTGTTTCAGTGCAATATCAAAATCGATACCCGAACGAAACTTTAACAATAATGTTTCCATCCCTTCGATGATGTATACTGCTAATTTAGATGGCTCTACTGTAAACACGTGAATTGATATCGTTCAAGAATTTATGTTTAGACATGTGCTACAACGATATCAACAACAGAAATAACGACAAAAAATAAAGCAAAAATACGGGTGCATGTTGTTCATGATACCACAGACAAACAGACGTAACTCTTTGAAAAGTTTTTCTTGAAAACATAGTATCTCAAAACATAGGACTTTAGTAACGACATCTCTCGGGCTTCGCGCGGAAAACAAGCTTGCTCGCTAACTCGCAAACAATATTGCATCAAAGTTCTATAGAATGTATAGAAACGTCAAAGTGATCCGATGCCAGCGCTGCGGTGAGTAGTTCGTGGAACTTGAAGTAATGAAATTAGGTTGTTAGCGGAATGCTTAAATAAAACAGCAAAAAAGGGGGTTAGATTTTGATAAGTTCTTTAGTAGGAAAGACACTGATGAAGACTGCACATTGTAGTCGAAATACGTATCTGTCATGGATACTAAAATTAATTAAGTGAAATTAAATGGAAGATAACATTTTTTTCGCGGAACTTATCAAATCAACCGTTAAATGCGCGAACGAAGATAAACAATGAAGTTTTACGTCTGTTTGTCTGTGATGGTACCTAGGTGCGCTGATGCCAAGCAATCAAGTACAAAATTTCAACAGCTTATTTTCAAGTGTCAAGGGCACGCAGTCCTACCGTATTTAACGAACGAACGAACGAACCGTTTAGCGAGCGATTTTAGATTCAATAATTTAAGGGAACTCACCAACATTGTTATTGTTTCTTCTGGACTTTGAAAATTGATGTGGCGTATTTTTTTTTCGGAAAAGGGATTTCCAATATTAAATTCCATTTTTGGGCCAATCGCTTAAATTCTGGTTAGAAGTAATCAGGGATGGAAAATCATTTACATTCATTTCATGCATTCATTTACATTCATTTGCCTCGAACTTTTGGGTTGGAAACTTTTGTAGGCTTTGATATTAGCTACATCTTTTGTCAACAACTCAAATCTGTATCTCTTATACATGATGAATAAGAGCGATAAGAACCCACCATTGTTTTTCAGTGAATGTAACTTGCATTCACTGGAAAACAATAACATGTTCTGCCAGCTCTATTTCGTCATGCATAAGAGATTCAGATTTTAGGTACTAACAAAAGTTGTAGTTAATATCAAAAGCTACAAAAGCTTCATAGATCATCTTACGGTATTCTGTTGATAAAAAAAGTTAGAAGTAAATGAATGTAAATGAATGCACTAAATGAATGTAAATGATTTTCCATCCCTGGAAGTAATGTTCTTCTTCATACGTTTAATGAAACAGAATGAAATTTCATAACACAGGAAAATCAGTGAACGCTACTTCAATAAAAGCTGCCGATTTGAGCGATAGTACTACAATAGAAGAATACACAGAAAAACATTCTGAATTTTAACTGTCACGTAAAATTTCCTTTCGTTTAATTTTGAGTTATAGTTGGGATAAACATCGAAATTTCTAACAAGCTTGTATGCAATATTGTAGCTTTATGCGGTATTGTGCATACATTTACTTGAAAGATCGTGTAAAATTTCGTCAAATCTGTGCGCTATACATCGCAGAAATTTCCATGAATGAAAACGGTGTAGGCCTAAATTATTTTCCGAAAACCTAATCAAACTTTCCAGAATGCTTTCAAGTTAGCTTACAAGTTAGGATGACTGCGGCAGATATTTGGGTCTTAAAAGGGTTCACATAATTTACATCAGCTTTACGTGGGCAAGGTTCTTCATAACACAGGACAATCAATAATCCGAGAAATAGATAACACCTATACATTTGTTAGTATAATTTATTACCTATTCATTGTTCAATAAATCTTCACAGTATTCTATTATCGACATTGACTCTTGTTTTTACGAGGCCACAGTAACTAACGTTCATTTAAATGCAAATCCAATTTGCAAGTATACACACTTCATGCCGCGCAGGTAATTTATAGATATCCAGGAACAATCTGCCACACGCTGCTCTAAGCGGCAGTTTACAATGGCCAGCTTAGAAAAGTGATATCAGTTTTGCTTACAGCAATCAGATAAATCTATTCACATCAAGAAACTATCAATAAAGTATACAAATATCATATGAATTAGAAGCGTTAAAAATTGTAGACTAGCACTAGCTTAGCACGATTCAGACAGGAGACTTTTGACGTTCATATTCATCTTTGGACAGTTCGTTCAACAGTTTGTACTTCTCCGTATCGGTCAGATTGATATAGCTGTTATTATCCATCAGCTCTTTCTTAATACTGTAAACCAAATCACAGGGTAGCTCAACATTCTTTTCATTCTCTATCTGCACCTGAGTGGTGTGCACTTCTAAACTACGAATCGAAGCAGTATCGTCATTCGTTTTGGACGGCTCATCGATTTCCACCTTGGTGTGATCACCTTTGAAACCTTGCGTCAACAGTTGCACTGCAGCCGACTCCCTCGGCAGTGCTTGAATCACCGTTTTCAGCAGTTTAGGAGACTTGTCATGATTAGGATTATTTATGACCACATCCGTATCACCATCGGTGGCGTCAATACTCTGCTGAGATTCCGCTTTCTCACGAGCTGCATTCTTGCGCATCAAACTCTTGGCACGTTTCTTCAGAATGGCTTGCGCATTCGGGTAGTATACAATTGCTTCATTTAGGTCCGATTTTGACAGAACGAACAAATTCGAGAATCCTTTCGATCGGACATCAGCCGTTCGACGATTGCCTTCGGCTCCATTGATCGCCAGTAAACTGATCTCCCCAAACACCGATCCTTCATACAGCGTAGCTAACACGACATCATTTCTAGGACCACCCATAACCTGAACTTGTCCAGTTTTCACGATGTACATCTCCTTCCCAACCTCCCCCTTACGGCAAACATGATCTCCTGGTAGGAAGGTTACCGATCTCAGCTTGAGCACCAGCTCCCGAAGCAATGCTTCCTCACAATCGGCGAACAGCTGTACCTTGGACAGAGTCTGAATGTGAACCGATATCGCAATATCGGTCTTCAAATTAGCCGGCAGAGCATCCATAATGTGCGTCTCATCCAAGCTACGTTGCTGTTCCCAGGTGAACGTGAACCACATCTTAACCCTCCGCTGGAGATCGGTCGGCAGGTTAAGCTGTCGCATGTACTCCAACGTTTCGTCCACCAGTTGTTTGTATTCGGATTTTGATCTGGTCGCAGTAGCAATGATGTCCCGAATCTGACCGATCAGCAACGCAAATACGAATACGCCCATCAACCAGGCAGCCGTCATGAATAGGAGCTCACCTTCCTTTTCCGGTTTGGGATTCTTGCCGATGGAGGTTGCTGTTTTCGTGGCAAAGGCAAAGCACCGGACGTACGCGTGGCCTTTGTCGTTGAACACCCACCGGTTCGAACCGAGACCTACGAGACAAAGAAATAGCATTGATTAGGATGTTTGTGTTTCTAAATTCAGGTTAAAATTGTTTTGCAGATGCACACACTTAAAATAATTGAACCCCCCTCCCCATGCTCCCTACACACTTAGAAATCTCTATTTTTACACGGGACGTAATCCATCGTTGACGTAAATCATGTGTCATGTGTGTAAAAATGAAGTGTCCCAAAACCTAAGCATTAGCATATCTACGAAAAGTGTGTTTGATTGTATTGAATGTCTCGTTTCATTTAACTGATTCTTCTGTCAGAAGGGCCACTTGCATGTGTCGGTCTCAGGGCACCGAAGTTTACATGACTTTTTCGTAGTGTGTATCAAAAGTCTGGTCCACTTAGAATCCGGACACATTATTTATTCCATAGCAGTGCCTCCAGTTGTCGGATATGGAAAATTTTGACAGCGATTTGTTTTGAAAGTACACGTGTTTCAGTGTCGATTCGTGCAGTATTAAAAAAAATGAACTAGGGAAGAGCGCTACTTCGTCGTAATCGCCCATTTCCGTTCTATCGAGCAGAAATCATCAATAATATCAATGATTTCACAATGCACAAAACAATAATACGTTTGTTCCGATGCGTTAGTTTATTAGCTACAACATAAATCCTTTTAGAGCGCATTGTATGAATATTTACACTCATTGTTCTCAAAACAAAAGAAGCCTCCTAGCGCATCCCATTTTTCTCCGTCTATCTGTAGGACGAAGAAAATCTAATGGCGTTTCAATGCGTTTGGACGGAATTGAAACGCGTAGGACGAATTTAGAAGCAAGAAGCAGTGTTAGATTTTTAATAATATCTCAACATTGTTTGACTCTTTATCAAATCCAACGGTACGTATGGAAAGGTGGATAAATTTAAAAGTTATCTTTGATGAAAACATTCCATATTTTGTTCAAACCCTTTCCAAAAAGCGTGGTAAAGTGCGCGATGGAAACTTTCATAGCGAATCAAAACAAACATTGCGTAGTACTAGAATTTCGACTAGAATAGGGTACTTTAATCGTTTGCTTGGGACTAATAGCAACAATCAATACGAAACTAACGATTTTAAATTGGCTCACCACTTTAGTAGCCTATTGGTCCCAAGCAAACGATTAACGTACCCTATTCTAGTTGAAATTCTATTACTACACTATGTTTGTTTTGATTCGCTATGAAAGTTTGACAGATAACATCAGGGGTGTGTGGATTCATGCATAACATGCAGGGGTGAGTGAAATAGCTTAGGACTGCTTGGGACCGTTGTTCTGGTACTGAGTGAGCCAAAAATAATAATGATTTTCTTCGGGACCCAGTGGTCTTAGAGTTACCTCAATGCTAATAGCACAAACGAAGTGACAGACGGAGCGGCTCGAAGTTTGATTTGACGCACTTTCATTTGAAATTTTCGAGTGTACCTCACGGCAACACTATCTACTCATATGTACTAGCTTAAAGTAGTTGATGCTATTGGGGCACCGCCTGTTATCTCTTTTTCTCTAACGAAAATTGAAAGGGAAAGCCTGTTGTCAAACAGCATGTCACTATGTTGTGTTCATTGTTATCTGCACTTCTTTTGTATAATGGAAGACCATAGGCCGAAATGATTAGGGGTAAACACATCGAGTTAACGTTTGCTTAGAAGTAAACGATGTTGAGCTGTCAATGACTCGCGCTTGTTGGCGGCAATTGTTGCTAAAGATTTCATCAGTCGGTGCTCCTAACCAAAGCCACGGTCATTCGCGACCGAGAAGACATCGTTGTTGGACGCCAAACAGAACCTGCCCGTGAAAAAAACCAATGATTTTGAATGGAGATTTTTGTTGATTAGGGGTAGGAGGGGCATAGAGAGCATTCCGCACTTTGGCTCTGAATCTCCAGCTGCATGAACCAAATCAACTGATAGTAGGTTGATATTGATCCTACCACCAACCAATTTGTTCCAAACGGCCGGAAGACCAAGCTGGGGCATGGGATCCTCACTATGCTCCTCTTACACCTACCATAAAATCACAACGAAAATCGTGGTATATGAGAAATGTACAGTAAAAAAGGGGGGTTGTTAAGCATCCTAACAATAAAAAAATAAAAAAAATCACTCGACAGCTCGGATTCGTCACATCCAGACGCTGTCTCTTACGTATTCCATTTATCGCGCCGTCGCGAGTGTTTTTCGTAGTGATTAGCTGTGAAACACATCGAGTCCGCTTCTCGGTCAACCTGGGAAGCGTTCTACAGTGGATTTCGGCCTGAGGGCAACGCGGTCAGTGGAAAAACCATAATTTAATTAGTGCCATCAACAGCACAGAGACGCTATCTTCGTGTCAGCCATCGCTGCTGACGATCATACGATCGTGGTGAAAAAGCTTTCAAGTCTGCGATCGACATAAGTGAATTACGGACTGCCTATCGAAAGGCGAAGATATTTGAGGTGGTGATTCGATAACCGTCGCCGTGCGTAGTGTCGCACTGCGTGTTATTCTTTCCTGTGTGGTGCGGTGCTAATCAACCGAAGAGTGATCGTTACAGGGATAGTTTTTTCTCTCCCCTCCAGCCATGGAGCTGGATAGGGATTTTCCTCACCTCCCTGGAGACACCGGGGGAGGATCAGCAAGCTACATAGATGGATCTCATGCTGGAGCAACGTTACCCAATTACATGGACCCCCATGATGAACACGGTGAGATTGTTGTTTTGAAGTTGCAGCCTGTTACCGGTAAATTACCGGAACATCCTTTCATGCTGCGTTCATCGGTAGAGAAATGGATAAACGGAAAAATTGAAGGTGCGTTTCCGGAAGCTCAAGGACAAGCCTATGCCCTGAAAGTCAGAAGTAAGTGGCAACTCAATCGACTTCTAAACATGACCCAACTAAACGACGGTACCGCAGTAAAGGTTACTAAGCACACGGGCCTAAACAGCGTCCGTTGCGTAATTAACTGCAGGCAGATGATGAAGGTCGATGATGAAGAAGTACTGGACTACATGAAGGATCAGAAGGTGACGAGCTTCCGGCGGATTACTCGCCGGGACGGTACTGAACAGGTTAACACGGCGACAGTCATACTAACCATCGAAGGTACCAGGATGCCGGAGCATGTAGACATAGGGTATCTACGGGTGAAGACGCGGCCGTATTATCCGGCCCCGATGCTATGCTACAATTGCTTTGTTTTCGGACATACCAAGGCTCGCTGTCAACAACAGGTTCCAACATGCGGCAACTGCTCTAAGCAACATTCGATCGTTGAGGGTGTTAGGTGCACAGATAACCCGTTCTGTCCCCGCTGCAAAACCATTGAACACTCCTTGTCGAGTAGAATCTGCCCCGTTTACAAAAGCGAAGACGCTATACAGCACATCCGAATCGATAAGGGGATCTCATATCCAGCGGCGAGGAAGCTGTTTGAGGCCTCGACGAGTCAAAGATCCTATGCCGGAGTCGCTAACGCCAGTAAAGATCAGGCGTTCGCAGACCTCTCAGCGAAGTTCGATAATCTCTCCAGCCAAATGGAGGAAAAGGACCGCAAGATCGCAGCCTTGGAGGAAAGGCTGCAACAAGGACCTACGACCACTAGCAGCTCTGAAATGCATGAACTCCGACAGATGATTGCGGACCTGCGAACGGAGGCACTTCGCAAAGACGAACGTATCCAAGCCCTGGAAGCAGCCCTAAAACGGGAAAATCGAATGGACATCACACGTAAACACGGGACCATTGAGGATTTAGTCGCCAGAGTTAAGATACTTGAAGCCGCCGTCTCCAACAAAGATAAGGAGGTCACTAATCTCCGGTTAGTGAACCAACAGTACAAGGAACTCATCGCACAGTCAAAATGCCCGAAACCATCTGTACCAAGAGAAGACAAAAAAAAGGAGCATGAACAACAAAAACCCCAATCTCAGCAACCAGAAAAACCCACTGGAGCGAAGAAAAAGATACTCAAGCAGACAAGCGGTGGAGCAGATCCGAAACGACCAAAAAACCACCCTACACCGGCATACATATCTGACACCGAAGTCGAATCCCAGACTTCTCCCTCTGGAGATAAGATTACCGTCGACGAGCTCATTTCCTCGGAAGACGAGGTGATGTCCGTGGAGGGTAGCCTAACTCCAATGGAAAATTAAACCTCCGCAGTCCAGTCCGTCTTCTAACGCATCAGAACCGAATTCCCACAACCTATCCACCAAGATGCATCCTACATCAACATCATCCTCTACTGAGGTTGAGAGCTATCAACAACCAGAGCGGACTGGATCTACCCCAACTATCAAAACAACGACATCGACCTCCAACGCACCGGATAAGGCCTCGGGCAGTCGGGGCCCTGTCAGTGCAGACGCCATGGACCAACCCGAACTGGCAGACACCCCCCGACGCTCGTTGGCAAACTCCGACGAACTCCGAAACCCTACCAACACAAACGACACGACTCGTTCCACCATCCCGGTTGAGCCACGGGGCAGTCGAGGCCCCGTCGGTGCGGAAGCCTTTGCCACACCGGAACCGGCGGACAACCCCCGTCACCCTGTGGCTACCGGAAGAGGGACGGAAAAGGGAGGCAACTCCTATTCCCCTGAGGACGACGTGGGAGTCAAGACAACTCTAGCCAACACTATACATACCGAGATTCAAGAACTGACGACCAAGCTGACGAATCTACTACTGGTGGGTCCCTCAGTGAAACCTCACTTGAGTAGAATATCACCGCTTATGGGAGCAAGAGCCCATCCCCCTCTGGACTACGTGGGAGTCAAGAGGGACGAGTCTGTCCAAAAACTATCACCGAAGGATGAAGTGAGAGGGAAGAAATCTCTGGCTAACAAAGTTACCGATGCAGCCGGGAAATCCGTGCCGGCGTTCAAAAACTCAATGCCTTCTTCCGGTGGAACCCTACCGGGTTCCGCTGTCATTCGTAGTGCGACGCACAAATCAACAAAGGACGATGGAATCAGAACTCCTCAAGTGCGTAGGAGAGTAGCCAGAATCAGATCGGGAAAGGCACTTCCCATTAGTGTTCTAGTCTGTGCGGATGCCTACGACAAAATGCAGCACCAACGGCTGGGAATTCCTTCTCCGGAAGCGGGCCCCTCAAATACGCCTTCGTCAAATGAGCGAGCAAGCCACGATCGCCACAAGCACCCAACTTCACACCTACTAACAGGAACCCTCACAATGGGGAACCGTTATAGAATGCAACCAGGTCAGTCCAACGCAAGCCTACTGGAGGCTTATCCCCTCACGAAACCTCCCCGCGGTAAGAGGACACCTAAGGATCCAGTCCATTATCCTACCTCTGCAACACGGATCCCTAGAAACCCAACGAACAAACTGTCAAAAAAACCACCGCTTGCTATACAGTGGAATATGAACGGCTTTTATAACAACCTTCCAGACTTAGAAAACCTAGTTCGTGATCAGATGCCCTCCATCCTGGCCATCCAAGAGGTCCACCGGGCCACCGTCAGCGGCATGAATCGTACGCTGGGCGGTCAATACCAGTGGACCTTAAAGAGAAACGAAAACATATTCCACTCAGCGGCAATCGGGGTCCTGGCACCAACACCGTTTTCGACCATACATCTAGACACAGACCTCCCAATCGTGGCGGTCAGACTCGAACACCCATTCCCGATTTCAGTTGTTTCCGCTTACCTTCCATGCGGGAAGATGCACAACCTTAAACAACACCTCAGCGATCTGCTTCAAGACCTCGAACGACCCATTCTGGTACTTGGGGATATGAACGGCCATCATCCAGCATGGGGAAGCCCAAAAACCAACCCCAGAGGCTCTACACTTATGGAAGTTGCAGAAGCCTCGGATCTCGTCGTTCTTAACGACGGGTCCATCACTTTCACCAGCGGACAGAGGGAATCCTCTGTAGACGTATCTCTTGCAAGCGCCAGCGTTGTCAGCAGGCTCCTCTGGAATGCCGAGGATGATCCCATGGGCAGTGACCATTACCCACTGGTAATCCAACTCGATGACCGACCGCAGGACACATTACGTAAACCACGATGGAAATACGACCAGGCTGACTGGTCCCTTTTTCAGAAGTCCGTCGACGCCGCATGGTCCAATTCATCACCGGGCAGTATCCAAGACTTCATTAGCTCCATCCATCAAGCGGCACTTTCATCAATTCCACGAACCAGTCCCAACCCGGGATCTAAGTCTCTACCATGGTGGTCCCCAGAGACCAAAGCAGCAGTTAAAGCCAGAAGGAAGGCTCTTCGGGCTGCTAAGCGGCTACCTTCAGACCATCCAACGAAAGAAGCGGCCATGGCCACCTACAGAGCAAAACGCAACGAGTGCCGACAAACTATCCGGTCTGCCAAGAGTTCAAGCTGGGAGCAATTTCTGGACAGCATTAATGCTGACCAGACGGCCACTGACCTGTGGGTTAAGGTCAACGCATTAAGTGGCAAACGGAAAAGCCGCGGAATGGCCATCCGGATAGATGGTACCACCACTAGAGACCCTGATAAGATCGCCCACGCTATGGGGGAATATTTTGCTTCTCTCTCGGCCATTGACGGGTACGATGATCGCTTTCGTCGTGTTAAAAACCTTTCGACACACTCCTTGGACAGCATCTACATCCCAGAGGATGAACTACCGCTGGAGATCAATCGGCCTTTCAGTCCACGGGAACTTGACCTAGCTCTATCCAAGGCTACCGGGAAATCGACCGGCCCAGATGACGTCGGGTACCCCATGCTAAAATACCTATCACCGGAATGCAAGACCACACTCCTCAGACTTCTCAATAGAGAATGGCTGGATAATTCCATCCCAGAAGACTGGAGACACAGCCTAGTCGTCCCGATCCCGAAGCAGGGCACCTCGGGTCGCGAACCGAAGGACTTCCGGCCGATATCTTTGACATGTTGCGTCAGTAAGGTGCTGGAGAGAATGGTCAACCGTAGACTCGTGCTCTACTTGGAGAGTAACGGCTACATTGACCACCGCCAGCACGCTTTCCGTCCTGGACACGGAGCCGGGACCTACTTCGCCACTTTGAACCAGGTACTTCGAGACGCGAGAGATTCTGACCAGCATGCTGAACTCGCTACGCTAGACATCTCTAAGGCTTATAACAGGACATGGACACCCGACATTCTTGCTCAACTCACGGACTGGGGTCTGTCGGGCCACGTTCTCCATTTTTTGAAGAACTTCCTCCGACACCGTACTTTCCAGGTATGCATCGGAAACCATAGATCAAGAGGATTCCCAGAAGAGACTGGCGTTCCACAAGGTTCGGTGATCGCAGTTACGCTGTTTCTAATACGGATGAACGGAGTGTTCCACAGCTTACCCAAAGAAATATACATCTTCGTGTATGCAGACGATATCGTCTTGGTGGCGGTCGGATCCACAGTGAAGGCCCTTCGCAGAAAACTCAACGCGGCCACGAATGCAGTTCTACGCTGGACTAAATCCGTCGGATTCCACCTATCGGTGGAGAAATGCGCATATACCCACATTTGTCCGTTCAATCACCAGGTGCTCCGCTCTCCTATCAGCGTCGACGGAAGGATCATGCCGTTTAAGAAGTCTATCCGCGTCCTCGGCATACGCCTGGATCGGCATTTAAACTTTGGAGACCATTTCAACGAAGTGAAAGGGAATTGCCAAACAAGAATCGGCTTGCTGCGGACATTAGCCAGGAGGCATCTAGCGAACAACCGTGCTGTCCGGATGCGCGTGGCTAAAGCGGTAGTCGATTCAAGATTAACATACGGTATAGAACTGACCTGCCTAGCTGCCGACAGGATGATTTCCCAACTGTCCCCGGTATATTATCAGGCCATTCGAATCACATCAGGTCTCCTCCCCTCCACCCCCAGGCTTGCAGCTTGCGTGGAGAGTGGAAGGTTACCCTTCGACAAATTTATCTTTGCTACCGTTTGCAAGAGGGCAGTTGGCTTCGCAGAGAAGACAACTGGAACAAGTGATGGAGTGTCCCTCCTTATGGAGGCGAACAAACTCCTGAAGGACGCCGCCGACCTGGAACTCCCCCCGGTAGCCAGGGTTCACTGGTGTGGAGCCAGGGGTTGGAACTCACCCGGACTTTCTATCGACTTGGCGATAAAGAACAGATTCCGGGCGGGAACCAACTCCCCCGCACTAGTGAGATCGGTGGCCGAACTACAATGAACCAAGTACCCAAATCACCTAGCAAGATACACTGACGGATCTCGAACAGGCGGAAGGGTAGGCATTGGGATATCCGATCCGGAGCTACGCACCTTCTACCGACTTCCGGACCCTTGCAGCGTTTTCTCTGCTGAAGCTGCCGCCATACTAGTAGCCGCCACCTCGCCTACCAACAAACCTGTCGCCATATTCTCTGATTCAGCCAGCGTACTAACAGCTCTTCAGTCCGATACAGCCAAGCACCCTTGGATCCAGGCTATCCAGAAGCTCGCTCACAAAGGAACAACTTTCATCTGGATCCCAGGACACTGCGGGATCAGAGGAAATGAGGAAGCGGATCATCTGGCGGCATCCGGAAGACAGGCAAACCTCTATACCCAAAAGGTCCCTGCTCAAGACATCAAGCGGTGGATCGTGACTTCAGTATGGAATTGCTGGACAAATGAATGGCTGCGATCTCAAGATCTGTTTATCCGGAAAATTAAAGGGGATACCAGAAGATGGGATGATCCGCCTGAACACCGATCTCAAGTAATTTTATCGCGGCTGAGAACCGGTCATACCAAAGCCTCTCATAACATGGGAGGCGGAGGTCCTTTTAGGAAGCAATGCGAGACTTGCAATGTACCACATACAGTGGAACATTTCCTATGCAACTGCCCCCAGTACTATGGACCACGCATCCAATACGGGATCTCAGCAAGCGTCAGGGACACCCTGAGATATGACCCCTCTAGCACCACAGCGCTCTTCTCATTTCTGCGGGAGACAGGATTGATCAACCAAATTTGATATATGACCCAATATGGACCCAAGCAACGACAACGGACAAAGGATTGAACTACTATTGGCAAAAACCACTGACTCAAAACGGACGAGCGACTATATTAAGATGATGCACGAATAAGGACACGAAAATGGACGGATGATGGCATAAAATTACGCACAGCGACAACAATGGAACTGAACACGGAAAACTACTACACATAAAAGCAAAATCATTACAATAATCGGACACAAGACCACGCGACGACAATGGATTATGACAAGGACCAACTACTAGATACACCGCAAGTTACCTGAATATCTGCCAACAAAATTAACTCCGTTATTATAAC